CAGGAATCTCCCAGGCTTCTTGGGACAGACACTGGCCAAGCCTCTGCCTCAGCCCTGTGGCATGTGCCCCGACTGTGCACCTTCCTTCTAGAACTTGGTGGTGGCAGACAGATGACGGACATTCAGGGATGTCCCTTCTAGGGGAATTGCTGGAGTCACCTACGCAGATGTGAGGGGAAAAGCAGTGCCTGGTGAACTGCCTGCTCGGCCTGAGCCTCAGTTTTGCCATCTGCAAAATGGGCTAACAGCAGGCTCCAGCCACATGGCAGGAGAGGGCCGCCGTGGTTCCGCGTCTTACGCGCTCCTCACGCGTCACCTCTTGTCCTCTACCATTCCTCCCAGCACAGCCTGCCTCGTCACTTTGTCATGTGTCACCATCACTCCTCACCTTGCTCCCAGGATTGCTCTTGCAGCGTTCCTAGCCATCTTTGCCGTGATCACTCTTGGCTTTGCCTCTGGATTTCACTCTTTCCTGGATTCACACCCCAGTCCCCCACTCTCCTGGTGGTGACTGCACTGTCCCAGGTGACGTCAGGCATTGCAGTGGTGCTTCGTGACCTTGCTCTCAGAGTGGGTTCCGGCCTCCACCTTGAACACCCACCCACCCTGCCCCACCTGGCTCCTTCTTTGCCGTGGCCTGGGGTCATTCTGCCAAGCTCCTCTGCCCTCTGCTGGAAATCCTCCAGGGCCCCCGGTGCCCAGCTCAGAGGAGGGCAGGACGTGGCTAGCACATCAGTGAAGGCCCTGCCGTGTGGGAAGTCACCTGCTGCTGGCACTTCCGATGCACTTTGTTTCTACATCCCCCAGTCGCCCTTCCTACCAGCAGGCAAGTGTCAGCCCCTTCCGTCAGTGGGGTCTCGTCCAAGGGCTGTGTGGTGCTCTGGCCTCAGTGGCCAGGAAGGCTGTGCTTCCCTCCCTGCAGTGTGATCAGTGGCACAGCCTCCAGTGCCGGCATTGGGCTGTGGGCGTCAGTCCTGGGCTGGACTTCCCATGGTGAGGGGATACGAGTGAAGACTCGGAAGCCATGAGCAGAGCACATGGCCTGGGACAGCACATGGCCTGGGACAGCACATGGCCTGGGCCAATGGAGCCCTCAGTGGCTGGCCCTACCCTGGAGCTGTTCTGGGGGCTCAGGGGACATAGGCAGCCTCCAGGTGGAAGGCTGGGCTGCTGGACTGCAGGGGCTCCCCAGCGGACCTGCCGTGGGCTGGGGGGATGGAGTGACAGGTCTAGGACTGGGGTGGCCTGGCCTTGCTCCAGTGCCTGTGACCCTGGGCAGCAGGTGCCCCCCCTCAGGCCTCTCCCTGCTCCCGAGTGCTCCCAAAGCTGTTGTTTTCACCAGGCTGCCTGGGACCAGGTGGCAGGTGCCCGCTAGGCTGTCACAGCCGTCAGTTCCTAAAGCAGGTGTCCTGAGGCCCTGCAGGGAGCACCGAGACCTTCCACCCACTTCGTGCCCCTGGCAGGAAAAACAAGAATGATTGAGTGGTTTAAAAATAGAGGAGGACTTGGAATTCATTAGACTCTTGAAAAACAGATTAGGTGTAATGACTGTCATTAAGTCAATCATTTGTAAGACCTCCTAGGCTGACACAGTGAGTCGGGGACAAGACCGGGTCTGGTCTACCACGCAGGCCTGGGTGAGAGGGCAGGGCTGTGTTCTTGCTCTCGCCAGCCCCGGGCACCCAACCTCAGCAAGCTTGGTGATGCCCACATCACCAGAAACCCGTGGGGGACAGTGATCGCCCTGCAGGGCCCTGAGTGGTGCCCTGGATGTAGGAGGCAGGCAGGGAAGTGACGCCCTGGGAGGAGGTGCCACCCTTCCTGCAGAGGGGCCTCCTCCCAGTGCACAGCTGGTCCAGAGCTGGAGAGAATGCCTGGCCTGCTATGCTCTCAGGGACGCCTGGCCAAGGGATGATAATGACTGCAGGTCCCCCCCCACGCCCCCACAACCCCACCCATGGCCCACCCTTACAGGCCTCTGTTCCCTGGTGACCACAGCTTCTCTTCCAGCCTCCTGACCGCGCTCTGGACCTCTTGTGACATCCCCCAGCCTGCTCCTTCCCCACCACCACCACAGGCCTCAAAGGCACCTCCCTCAGGCAGCCACGACTACATGGAAGGAGCCCCTTATCATCCTCTCTCCCTCACGCTCCCCACCTGGTCCTCCGGCCAGTGCTGGGAAGAAATGAATTTTTTCATGGGGTGAAGCATGCCAGTAAGGCAGCTTCTTTTGTGAGAGCAATCAGGGGAGGCCTCCTGCAGGCGGTGACATTTGCTGAGGCCTGAGTGAAGGGAAAGGGCTGGAGGAAAGGTGCCCAGGTGCTGGGAAGGAGCGGAGGGGACAGGGAGCAGGGCGGAAGGAGGTCGGGTGGGGCTGGGAATCTCAGAGAGCTTTGTGGGCAGGGCGGGTAGGAAGAAGTTTTCTGAGAGAAGGAACGGTATCAGAGGTGGTAACATCAGCATGGTGGTGAAGTGGTCTGGTGATTTAAAAATTATTGTAAATGCCAAGTGCAGTGGCTCACGCCTGGAATCCCAGCACTTTTGGAGGCCGAGGCAGGTGGATCACTTGAAGCCAGGAGTTCAAGACCAGTCTGGCCAACATGGTGAAACCCCATCTCTACTAAAAAAAAACCCCACAAAAATTAGCTGGGCATCATGGCAGGCGCCTGTAATCCCAGCCCACTTGGGAGGCTGAGGCAGGAGAATCACTTGAACCTGAGAGGTGGAGGTTGCCGTGAGCCAAGATGGCACCGCCGCCCTCCAGCCTGGGCAATAAAGTGACACTCCATCTCAAAAATAAAAAAATGTTGTACATGGCTTTATTGAAATGTGATTGGCACATGATGAACAGCAGCACATGAGAGTTTGGTTCCTCCACGTCCTCGCCGACGCTTTGTATTGTGGGCTTTTTAGCCATTCAGATAGGTGTGAAGTGCTACCTCGCTGTTGTTTTAATTTGCATTTCCTTAAGGAATAATAATGTTGAGAAGCTTTTTTTTAAGTAAGAGACAGGATCTTGTTATGTTGCCCAGGCTGGCCTTGAACTCCTGGGCTCAAGCAATTCCTCCCACTTCACGTCAGCCTCCCGAGTAACTGGAACCACAGGTCACCTCATTGCCTCAAGCATCTCTTCATGTGCTATTTCTCATTGGTTGTCTCTTGAAGCGTCTGTTGACACCTTTTGCTGTTTCTTTCACTTGGGTGTTTTTCCATACTGAGTACTGAGAGTTCTTGATATATTCCGGATACAAGTCTGTTACATGATTTTCAAATATTTTCTCCCAATCTATGGCTTGTGTTTTCATTCCAACAGTATCTTTCAAAGAGCAAAAGTTTTTAATCTTGAGGAAGTACAATTTATCAATTTTTTTTCTTTTATGACTTGTGATTTTGGTGTGGTATCTAAGACTTATTTTCATAACCCAAAGTCACAAAGATTTTTTCCATGTTTTCTTCTGAAAGTCTTATACTTTAGGTTTTACATTTAGATCTATACAGCATTTCACTTGGAGTTAATTCATGTATATGGTGTGAGGCATGGATCAAAGTTTTGTTTTGTTTTGCATAAGGAAAGTCAATTATTCCAGAATTATTTGTTGGGAAAGATTCTTCCTTTTCCACTAAATTGCCTTTGCATTTTTGTCTTCAGCTGACCACATGGGGCAGGTTCACTTCTGGACTCTCCAGTCTGTTCCATTGATCTATGTGCCTGTATTGACACCAATGCCACACGGTCCTAATCATGGTAGCTTTATAATAAGCCCTAGTTGGAGGTACAAATGCTTAGCTTTATCTTCTTTTGCATTGTTGTTTTGGCTATTCTGTCTCCTTTCTGTTTCCATAGGAAGTTTAGGGTTGCAACTTTTGCCAAAAAAAAAAAAAAAAAAAAAAAAGCCTGCTGGAATTTTGATTGGGATTATGTAGAATCCATATCAATTTGAAAAGAATTAGCATCTTAATAATACTTCTGGTTCATGAACATAGTATATCTCTTTCTTTATTTAGGCCTTTAATTTCTCTCAGCAAAGTTTTACTGTTTTTAATTGCACAGGTCTTGCACGTCTTTTGTCAGCTTAATCCTCAAGTATTTTATGTTTTGTGATGCCATTGTAAATTCGTTTGTTTTGCAGTTTTAATTTGTAATTGTTCATTGGTAATATATATGGATAAAACTGATTTTTGTAGATTGATCTTCTAGAATATTAATCGTCTAGATTTATCTTGCTGAACTCACTTTATTAGTTACAGTTTTTTTTCAAATATTTTATCAGTTTTCCTACATAAATGATCTTACCATCTGATAAGAAAAACAGTTTTGCTTGTTTTCAACTGTATGTCCTATATTTCTTTATCTTGTGCTTTTTTCTCTTTTTTTCTTTCTTCTTTCCTCAAATGCCCTGAGACAATTTTATTATTTACTTACCTATTTATTTGTTGAGACAGTCTCACTCTGTCCCTAGGCTGGAATGCAGTGGTGAGATCTCAGCTCACTGCACCCTCTGACTCGCTGGTTCAAGGGATTCTCCTGCCTCAGCCTCCAAAGTAACTAGGATTACAGGCACGCGCCACCACACCCAGCTAATTTTTGTATTTTTAGTAGAGATGGGTCTTCACCATGTTGGCCAGGATGGTCTCGATCTCCTGACCTCGTGATCTGCCCGCCTCAGCCTCCCAAAGTGCTGGGATTACAGTTGTGAGCCACCGCGCCCGGCCTTTCTTGTATTTTTTTAACCAGCCAGAACCAACAGTACAACATTGAATGAAAACAATGAAACAGGATGATTCTGCCTCACTCCCAAGCATTCCGTATCTACTGTGAAGTGTGATTTGAGCTGTAGGGTTTTCACAGCCCTTCATCTTCTAAAATAAAAAAGGAGTTCTCTCCTATTCCTGATTTGCCGAGAGGTTTGTTTTTGTTGTTTTTCATCAAGAACAGATGTTGGATTTTGTCAAATGCCTTTTCTGCGTTTTGACCTAGTCACATGGTTTTCCTGTTTTAGCCTGTGCACGTGATAAATCACACTGACTAATGTTCAGCCGTTCGGCCAGCCTGGCAGTCCTGGGGTCAACTGGACATGGTCATGAGGTATTATCCCTTGGACATACCATTGGCTTTGATTGGCTACATTTCAGGAGGATTTTGTGTCGGTCTGAGAGGACTGGCTGTCGGGTGGCTGTCTTCTCGTCATGCCTTTCTCTGGTGCAGGATCATGGCTGTCTGGGATGAGCTGGGGAGCGTCCACCTCTTCAGGTTTCTGGAAGAGCTTGTGTAGAACCGGCATTATTTCTGCCTGCAATGTGAGATAGACTTCACCAGGGAAGCCATCTGGGCCTGGAGTTTTCCTTGCGGGAAGATTTTTAACTGTAAAATCGATGTGTTTTCTAGCAGACTGTCTGTTGAGTTATCGTCTTGTTCCATGAGTGGAGTTTCTTTGCTGTACCATCGAGTGATGTGTCGTTCCTGCTCCCCCAGAATGGCAGCCCCCCTACACCTGCCGATGCCCACCCCACACGCCTGGCAGAGGACATGAACCCTGACCTCCCCTCCAAGGTAGTGACTTGTTATCAGGCCCTGGGTAACCTGACCTAACACAGCCCTGCCCCTGCAATTGGCTTCCCTTGTCCCTGCAAAACCAGGGAAACTGCTTCTACACCCCTCGTGCCCTGCTGCCTTCTGTCCCTGTCTGCCCTTCGGGCCAGTGTTGCCCTAGGCTGTGGCCTCCCTCCCTGTCCCTTTGGCATGGAGCCACTATCAGTCAGTCACATGGCTGCCCTGACGAAGCTGTCGGGAGCTTTGCCGGCCTGGCCTCCTGGAGTCCCTCAGCCGCCTCCCAGGCAGGCATCTCCATGTCTGTGGCATTGCTGTTGGCTTCATGGCTGGGGCCACCCTTCCAACCCAGCTCTCCAGCCACCTGCAGGACCCATCGCAGGGTTCAGCCTGTACCTCTCAGGCTCTGTAGCATGGCATCCTCCCAGTCCCCCATGGTGCGTCCCAGAGCACCTGGGATTGGGGGACATGCTGGCTGTAGGCCAAGTGAGAAGAGGTGGCACTGAGGGCTGGATGGCAGCAAGGCCTGGGAGGATGTGCCAGAGCCCAGCCCACTGGGGCACTCACGTCCCTGACTCTCCCTGCAGGTCCTGCCCTGCAGTCCAGCCCCTCCACTCCCCACCCCAGCTCCTTGGCCCAGTGCAGCCCCACTGACTAGCAGGTGGCTGTCCAGCCTCAGCCTCAGCCTCCTAGGGCACAGACGCTGGGGCCCACCCAGGCAGGTGGTATCCTCTGCCAGGCATGAGGGAGGTGTAGGGGGCTGCCATTCTGGGGGCCTCCAGGAGAAGAAGCCGGACAGAGTCCAGGCCTGTAGAGCTGTCCCTTGAGGTGTGGCTCTCAGCTCCTGCTCTCCCCACCCCAGGGCCCCCAGCTCTGTCCCTCAGGACAGTTCTCAGTGAGGTATACAGCAGTTTCTGAGGCGAGGGGCAGTGGGACTCCAGGCCACTTCTGGCACTACTGCCTGCTCCTGGCAGCCTGAGGGAGCCACAGTCACGGGTGGGAGTGGGGCTTTGGCTGGAGTGGAGCCCACTCATTAAGCATCAGCACTCCTCCCCTGACCTGCAACCTGAGGAGGTGAGAAGGTGCCAGCCTCCCGCTCCCCATGGCTCCGGGACGCGTCCTCCAGGGGTTGTTCTCCACTCCGTGGGACCAGGAAGGTTCCAGGGGAACAGCCCCCTTGGAAGCAAACATCCCTTCCCACCTTCACGGAGGCAAAAGCAAGAGGAAGCGGGTTTCGACCACGTGCGGCATGACAGCCAGGAGCCCATGATGCATCCTCAGCTGCCTTCACTCACCGCCTTGAGACTCGCCAGCTGTGGGGGCTTCTGTTCGGAGAGGTTTTTAAAGCAGCGGAAGCTCAGAAAACGCCTGCGAGGTGTGAGACTCGAAGGGTGGCAGGAACCGTCCGCTGGTGCGCCAGGAGGCAGGCGCCTCTCTCATCTGCATTTCCTGATTTTTAGGGTGCATGTGTATTGCTTCCGTAATGACGAAGAAAAATAGAAAGAACAGCTTCCCAGACCATAACAACAGTGGGCTCTTTTCTTTTTTTTTCCTTTTTCCTTTTTTTGAGACAGTCTTGTTCTGTCACCAGGCGCCAGGCTAGAGTGCAGTGGTGTGGTCTTCGCTCACTGCAACCTCTGCCTCCCAGGTTCAAGCAATTCTCCTGCCTCAGCCTCCCAGAGTAGCTGGGACTACAGGCTCGTGCCACCACACCCAGATAATTTTTGTATTTTAGTCAAGACAGGGTTTCACTATGTTGGCCAGGATGGTCTCGATCTCATGACTTTGTGATCCGCCCACCTTGGCCTCCCAAAGTGCTGGGATTACAAGCGTGAGCCACCATGCCTGGCTAGTGGGATCTTTTCAAGAGCTGGGCCGTGTCTAGGCCTGTGTCCCCAGAGCCCAGATCTTGGCCAGGTAGGGCCAGCCCTCGTCCACACCCCTTCCCATGACTACCTGGCTTGTGCTTGGACTTAATGGGGGCAGCAAAGGGCCAGGTGAGCCCCCTAAGGTGATGCCTGGCCCTGGTCCAGCCTCTGCCCCGAGGCAGGAGAGGGGTGAGGCCTGGAGGAACTGACTTCTTGAAGGGCCTGGGGAGCCGTGGGCATAAGCAGCTGCTCTGGGGCCAGGGGACAGGTGTGGTCCTGCCCAGCTCTGCTGCACCCGCCCCCATGGCCCTGGCTTTTGGAGACATCTCCTGGGGCTGACAGTGTTGCATCCTCATGAGAGGACAGAGCTGGAGAGGCCGACAGACAGGACCCGCCCAGGTAGAATGGACCCATGGGTGGGTCACCATGGCAACTGGGAAAGTGGCTCCTGGGGCCTGCCTGTCTCACCAGGCACCACTGCACCTGATCCCCTGAAGCCCCATCTGTAGCTGAGGAGACCTCACCTCCTCCGAGAGGAGCAGGCAGGCTTGCGGTCACACACCTTCCAGGAGGGATGGGCCTGGGAGCTGCCGGGCCGTCCCCATATGGGCTGCTCTCTCTGGGCTCCAGGTTGCCAGCATGGGCGGCCTTAGCAGTCATGCACATGGGTCCCCCACGGCACAGCCTGCGCCAGTGACTGGGGCATGGCTCTGACAAGGCCTGTGTTCGAGCTGCTGGTTGAGGCCTGGCCGACGGTCAGTTGTTGGCAGGGCTGGCATCCTAGAGGACAGCAGCTCCCTGGGCCTGTCCACTGTCCGTCTGTGTCTCTCCTCCCCATTAAGCCTCTGCAGAGCACCGCTGAGGTGAGGAGGGCTGACCACAGCCTGGCTGGCCCCCATGGGTGGTGAGGATCTGAGTGCTCAGGGGAACTCAGGCTCACCAAGTTCCTCGACACCACCGTGATGACTGACCAGAGATGTCTCCCAGAAATCCTGAGCCCCACGTCCACAAGTGTCCTGGGCCATGAGGCAGAGCCCCACAGTCTGTGGTCAGCTGTGTCACCGTGGGACCCTGGGCATCACCACTGCTGCCATCTGGGCAGGGAACTTAACCTCTCAGCACCTCAGTTTATTTCTCTGTAAAAATGGGAAGGTGGGGCCAGGTGCTGTGGCTCACATCTGTAATCCCATTGCCTTCGGAGCCAAGGCAGGAGGATGATGAGGGGTGAGGGGGCTGTGGACAGTGTGGGTGGATGATGGGGGATGAGGGGCTGTGGACAGTGTGCGGAGGATGATGGGGGGTGAGGGGGCTGTGGACAGTGTGGGGAGGATGATGGGGGATGAGGGGCTGTGGACAGTGTGGAGAAGATGATGGGGGTGAGGGGCTGTGGACAGTGTGGGGAGGATGATGGGGGATGAGGGGCTGTGGACAGTGTGGAGAAGATGATGGGGGTGAGGGGCTGTGGACAGTATGGGGAGGATGATGGGGGGTGAGGGGGCTGTGGACAGTGTGGGGAGGATGATGGGGGTGAGGGGCTGTGGACAGTGTGGAGAAGATGATGGGGGTGAGGGGCTGTGGACAGTGTGGGGAGGATGATGGGGGGTGAGGGGGCTGTGGACAGTGTGGGGAGGATGATGGGGGATGAGGGGCTGTGGACAGTGTGGGGAGGATGATGGGGGATGAGGGGCTGTGGACAGTGTGGGGAGGATGATGGGGATGAGGGGCTGTGGACAGTGTGGGGAGGATGATGAGGGGTGAGGGGGCTGTGGACAGTGTGGGGAGGATGATGGGGGATGAGGGGCTGTGGACAGTATGGGGAGGATGATGGGGGTGAGGGGGCTGTGGACAGTATGGGGAGGATGATGGGGGATGAGGGGCTGTGGACAGTGTGGGGAGGATGATGGGGGTGAGGGGGCTGTGGACAGTGTGGGGAGGATGATGGGGGTGAGGGGCTGTGGACAGTGTGGAGAAGATGATGGGGGTGAGGGGCTGTGGACAGTGTGGGGAGGATGATGGGGGATGAGGGGGCTGTGGACAGTGTGGGGAGGATGATGGGGGTGAGAGGCTGTGGACAGTGTGGGGAGGATGATGGGGGATGAGGGGCTGTGGACAGTGTGGGGAGGATGATGGGGGTGAGGGGCTGTGGACAGTGTGGAGAAGATGATGGGGGATGAGGGGGCTGTGGACAGTGTGGGGAGGATGATGGGGGTGAGGGGCTGTGGACAGTGTGGGGAGGATGATGGGGGTGAGGGGGCTGTGGACAGTATGGGGAGGATGATGGGGATGAGGGGCTGTGGACAGTGTGGGGAGGATGATGGGGGATGAGGGGCTGTGGACAGTGTGGGGAGGATGATGGGGGATGAGGGGCTGTGGACAGTGTGGAGAAGATGATGGGGGTGAGGGGCTGTGGACAGTGTGGGGAGGATGATGGGGAATGAGGGGCTGTGGACAGTGTGGGGAGGATGATGGGGGTGAGGGGGCTGTGGACAGTATGGGGAGGATGATGGGGGATGAGGGGCTGTGGACAGTGTGGGGAGGATGATGGGGGATGAGGGGCTGTGGACAGTGTGGGGAGGATGATGGGGGATGAGGGGCTGTGGACAGTGTGGAGAAGATGATGGGGGTGAGGGGCTGTGGACAGTGTGGGGAGGATGATGGGGGATGAGGGGCTGTGGACAGTGTGGGGAGGATGATGGGGGATGAGGGGCTGTGGACAGTATGGGGAGGATGATGGGGGATGAGGGGTTGTGGACAGTGTGGGGAGGATGATGGGGGATGAGGGGCTGTGGACAGTGTGCGGAGGATGATGGGGGTGAGGGGGCTGTGGACAGTATGGGGAGGATGATGGGGGATGAGGGGCTGTGTACAGTGTGGGGAGGATGATGGGGGGTGAGGGGGCTGTGGACAGTATGGGGAGGATGATGGGGGATGAGGGGCTGTGGACAGTGTGGGGAGGATGATGGGGGATGAGGGGCTGTGGACAGTGTGGGGAGGATGATGGGGGTGAGGGGCTGTGGACAGTGTGGGGAGGATGATGGGGGATGAGGGGCTGTGGACAGTGTGGGGAGGATGATGGGGGTGAGGGGCTGTGGACAGTATGGGGAGGATGATGGGGGTGAGGGGCTGTGGACAGTGTGGGGAGGATGATGGGGGATGAGGGGCTGTGGACAGTGTGGGGAGGATGATGGGGGTGAGGAGTTGTGGACGGTGTGGGGTGGATGATGGGGGTGAGGGGCTGTGGACAGTGTGGGGAGGATGATGGGGGTGAGGGGCTGTGGACAGTGTGGAGAAGATGATGGGGGTGAGGGGCTGTGGACAGTGTGGGGAAGATGATGGGGGTGAGGGGCTGTGGACAGTGTGGGGAAGATGATGGGGGTGAGGGGCTGTGGACAGTGTGGAGAAGATGATGGGGGATGAGGGGCTGTGGACAGTGTGGGGAAGATGATGGGGGTGAGGGGCTGTGGACAGTGTGGAAAAGATGATGGGGATGAGGGGCTGTGGACAGTGTGGGGAGGATGATGGGGGTGAGGGGCTGTGGACAGTGTGGGGAGGATGATGGGGGTGAGGGGCTGTGGACAGTGTGGGGAGGATGATGGGGGTGAGGGGTTGTCGACAGTGTGGGGAGGATGATGGGGGTGAGGGGTTGTCGACAGTGTGGGGAGGATGATGGGGGTGAGGGGTTGTCGACAGTGTGGGGAGGATGATGGGGGTGAGGGGTTGTGGACAGTGTGGGGAGGATGATGGGGGTGAGGGGTTGTGGACAGTGTGGAGAAGATGATGGGGGTGAGGGGCTGTGGACAGTGTGGGGAGGTTGATGGGGGGTGAGGGGTTGTGGACAGTGTGGAGAAGATGATGGGGGGTGAGGGGGCTGTGGACAGTGTGTGGAGGATGATGGGGGGTGTGGGGTTGTGGACAGTGTGGAGAAGATGATGGGGTTGAGGGGCTGTGGACAGTGTGGGGAAGATGATGGGGGTGAGGGGCTGTGGACAGTGTGGAGAAGATGATGGGGGTGAGGGGCTGTGGACAGTGTGGAGAAGATGATGGGGGATGAGGGGCTGTGGACAGTGTGGGGAAGATGATGGGGGTGAGGGGCTGTGGACAGTGTGGAGAAGATGATGGGGGTGAGGGGCTGTGGACAGTGTGGGGAGGATTCCCCGAGGGGTGATGGGGTGCTCACCGTGTTGGGTTGCACCTGGCTTGATGCCCACCCCCGTCTGACCCTCCAGAGGGCTGGCCTCTTTGACAAAGAAGGTGGCAGGAGTCTCTGGCCCTGAGGTGTGGCCCAGTGTCCTCAGCCTCTGCCACATTCCACCTCCCTCACTCTGGCGAGGCTGTACTCCAGCCCGTGCTACAGGGCCCAGGGCCCCCCAGGAGCTGAGTGCCCACCTACCCCACCCCTGCATCATGTGTGCTGAGGGACACCTTCTTTGGAGGACCCTGTGTGGGCAGTATTGCGCTCCTATTGTATTAATTTAATTTTTGAGGCTGCGTCTTACTGTCACCCAGGCTGAAATGCAGTGGCATGATCTTGGCTACAACCTCTGCCTCCCGGGTTAAAGCAATTCTCATGCCTCAGCCACTGGACTAGCTGGGACCACAGGCACCTGCCACCCCTGCAGCTCATTTTTGTATTTTTAGTAGAGAGGAGGTTTTGTCACATTGGCCTGCTGGTCTGGAACTCCTGACCTCACGTGATCCACCCGCCTTGGCCTCCCAAAGTGCTGGGATTGCAGGCGTGAGCCACCTCACCTGGCCTATTTTAAAAAAAGTTTTAGTAGAGACAGGGTTTCACTGTGCTACCCAGGCTGATCTCAAACTCCTGGACTCAAATGATCCTCCTGCCTTGGCCTCCCAAACTACTAGGATTAAAGGCGTGAGCCATTGCACCCAGCCTTGCTTTCCCATTTTACAGCCAAGTAAATTGAGGCCTGGGAGGTTAAGTTTCCTGCCCACACGGCAGAGGTGGTGATGCCCAAGGCCTTCAGTTCACTGTCTAGCCTGTGACTCCCCAGCCCAGCATGGGGACACCCTCTCCATGGCAGGAGCTCCCTGTGGAGCAGCAGCCACATGCCCAGGTCCCCTCGGGGGTCTCCTCGTATTGCCAGCCCAGAGGCCCTCGAAGGCAGGTACTGCTGCTCCGCTCTGGCCCCAGCACCCAGCCCCGGGCCTGATGTTCCCCCACCACGTAGCAGGTGCCCGCCTGACCTACCCCTCACTCCACAGAGCAGGACTTCCCTCGCTGGAGACGGGCTCCCTGTTCTAGCCTCACCTGTTGGTTTTCCCTGGAGCCGGCTCTGGGACTACAAGGGCCCTAGGAGTTGGAAGCCCTGTACCCAGTGATCATGGCTGAGGCCCTCGGGCCTTTGTGGACTCGGTAGGGCCATACCTCTGCTCAGGCCAGGCCATCTCCTCCAGGAAGCCCTCTCTGCAGCATGGTGACTGTGCCTATCTGTTGTCAGTGGGGTGGACTTCAGATCACAAGTTGCTTCTGACTTCTAGGCTCCCTGCTCCTTGACAGGGCCCGGCTAGACAGGAATAGGGGTGGGGGGAGTGTGAAAAGCATAAAGGAATTTGAGTTAACTGAATCCCAAGAGACATCGAGGCAATGCGGCTGAATTAGAGGAGACGGAAAACAGCTAACGTTCAGAGCCTTCGCGCGCCCATGTCCATGTCTCCTTATGTTCAGTACTTTGGAGGTTCCAATTGCGTGCCCTACAGCAACTCCCCCACCCCTGGGGAACCCCCCGCCATGCAGCCCCCACAGCAGTGTCCACATCACAGAAGGCACTGGGAGCCCTGGGCAGGGAGGGGCTGTCTCCCTTCCAGAGACCTAAAGAGACCCCAAAGGCGCTTGGGATGCCCCTTCCTCCCCTTAGCTCAGACGTCCTGGAGATCTGTGATGGGTGCTGGTCTCTGCACAGGAGCACCAGCCACAGCCACCTCCGAGTCCGTCATCAGTCACTGCACGGGAAGGAAGAGTGTGGAGGGAACACAGCGAATCAGCACTTTCCCTGGACACTGAAACAGTGACTGCAAACTTAGAGACCCTTCAGTGGCTGAAGCCAGGATGTGCCCAGCCTGTTTCTCGGCTGCTGAGGTGCTCCCTGCGTCTGTGCCGCACCTGCACGCTGAGAGGATCCGGCTTGTCCCACCCGTCCATGGCTGTCTTACTATCCTGGTCTGTGGCTCAGGGAGC